TATTTCAAATTCACTTGAATACATCGAGTTGACATATGATTCGTAATGAAATATACATGGAGATAACGAACAGTAATCAAGCTCAAAAGTCCGTAAAACAATACAAAATAGGAGCAGAGCAAACACAGACCTCTAAAACATCAGAAGTGGGGTCAGGTGCCATTGAAGAGTGAGCATCCCAATGTGCCGTAGATATATCTATATATATGTCAAGCTCAGAACCATATGAATCTGAGACTTTCCATTTTTCTCCTTATTTTTTTTCTCCTTTTTTATTTTATTGTTCATTTCCTCATTTTCCGTCATTTTTTTCTTCAATTTTGTAATCTGTAACCTTTTAAAATTACTCTAAAAGACATATCTTTGTAAAACCCCAAACATATAAAAACTAGTAGCTACATTCGTACATTGATCTCAGATGGGGAGAATTTATTCACTTTTGCCTGCTGTTCAATCCATGTTCATTGCACATGTGTATATACTTCTATGTATTGCATGAATTAAATACTTCTTAAACTAAACTATATGTCGAGCTGAGAACCACAGCAAGTGCTCTTTTCTTCTCACAAAGAAAGTTGTAAATAAATTCTGCTTCATATTTATATCAAATCAGGTCGGCTTATAAAGGAATACTTGTGATCACATCTGAATCAAAACAGTTTGTTGGAAGATCTTGTCTCCGATCGCGAAGGCTAAAGATGTTAATGAGAACCCCAGCATCCTTTTAAATGTCAACATTAGAGTACGTGTATGCGTTGATTGATTGTATATTGTTTAATGTCCCTCTCTAGAATTTTTCACTCATATGGAGACGCATTTTGTCCTATACTCGGCACTCGGGGCCATTGAGCAGGGAGGAATCTTTTTTTTTAGCCAACTGCGACAAGGGACCTCGGTTTACTAGTATTCAGTCTCATCCAATCATGGAGTGTTTCGTTTTAATAATCCTTAAGCCATTCAGATTTCTTTATTTCGTTATATTTCCGTCACCACAATCGGACATTGTCTAGCAAGCTGTGATTAGACATATTGCCATTGTTACTCTGTATAAAACTTACTTCTTCAACAAGTTGGTTTAACTTCTTCACTATGTTTTTAACTTCTGCCTCTGCTTTCCTTAGATTGTCAGTAACTGTTTCCTATTTCTTCTTCTTGATTTCTAGCAGAATGTTTATGATTTGATCGTAATGTATCTGCAAGGTTTTAACGTCAGAGTCATGAAGATATTCATTTTCTTTTATCTTTTTTGATAACTCCATAAATTCTGAGAATAACTTGGAGGAATCCCTGATGATAGTGAGTTTCGATTTTTTCAGCAGTTCTTTTCTCATTTCGTCTGCTGCTGTAGCCAAAGTTTCCCAGTTGTGATCCTTGTGCTCAGTTTTTGCACACTTAGAACAAATGATTTCATCACAATCCTCACAGAATATATCTGTACGCACGCTGTGTTTGTCACACGTTGGAATGTGTTCTTGAGGAGAACCTTCTATACATTCTGATTTGTTTGTCGCCATTTCTACCTTGTGTTCAACTGTTGATTAGCTGACATTGAAAGCTGTCAATAGGATTCAGCGAATTCAGCTGTGAAAGCATTAAGGACTCTGTTTGTATACGCCACATACGATTTGCAAGTTAAAATACAACCCCTTTGTATGTTTTGATGTGTTGGTTACCACTAGAACAATTAAATGAATTGACATATGCATAGTCAGCAATACGATTTAATGGTTGGTTGCATTTAGTACCAATGCTTAAACATCTTTTTTTACTTTCTGATCTACCATTAAATTTCAATCAATAGAATTGATTTAAAAGTGATCTGGGGATTTCAATAGAATAAAACGTTTACAAATGATAATCTTACTGCAAAGATTTCCTTAGGGAAAATCCTTCTCTAGAGCCAGTTTTCCTGGGGGAATTTCTACTCTAGTGCCAGTTTTCCGGGGGAAAAGATTTAGGGGGAAAACCTACTCTACAAGACCGGTTCGCGAATACTGTGGTACTACTCTTTTGCAAGTGACACACTTCGGAGATATATGACATACATCAAATTCTTTAATAGATGTCATTTTTAAAAATATATCAACAATTGTTTCTGAAAATGAAAATAATTATTTAATCCTAAAAATGGTTAAATATATATTTTTTAATCAATTTTCAGTTAGAATGAAACATATGGAGATAATGAACAGTATTCAAAATCAAACGTCCATTAATCAATACAAAACAGTAGCAGAGCAAACACGGACCTCCAAAACATCAGAGGATGTGGGATCAGGTGCCATGGAGGAGTGAGCATCCCCTGCCGACCGGTCACATCCGCCGTGTGCTCCTTGTCATGATCGGGAAATAACGGGAAAAGCCGTAGTCAGTTCAGTATATAAATAATCAGCATTTGACTCAATGATAAATTGTAATTGCTGATAAGGTCATTATATGAACCATAGAACTTACGAAATGAGGACTTTAAACGAGACTGCTGATATTCTTGTTTCATCAACTTGTTTGTCAATAATTTACCTCGTTTTAGAAATTGTTCATACGTAGAGCATGCTCTTGAGTATCGAATCAACTGATATATATAAACTCCGCATGCAGGTGATGAAGGTATATTGCTGCATAAATAAGGGAAAATGACGATAGAAAAGTTAAATTCATCACGTTTATCATAGAGCTTGGTTGCTAGATTACCATTAATGTCTTTTTCAAGTAAAATATCCAAGTATGAAACAGATGTTTCAGACTCTTTGGTATCTTTTATCTCAAGCTCACCAACATATATCGTACCGACAAAGGAATAGCAATAACCATTGTTAATTGACAGTACGTCGTCGTACAGAATGTGTTTTAACAAAATAATTTTGCAAATGACCAAAGATCGAGTACATGTAAGTAAATTTAAGAGGTCCATTTTTAATGAAAAAGCAGCTGTATATGATATAAAAAGCCTGGACTTTAATTCAACGTGAGGAATGATTGTGTATAAAGTTGAATTGTCGTAAATTTTTAAGCTGTTGATTTTGGTAAAATCTTGTAATTTCAAATTGCCCAAAAGTTCTTTGGAATTTTTGAGTATCCACATCTGATTCACACCAATTCAAATTTTCTGAAAATATATTTGATATTTAATAATTTTCCCTAAATCAAATGAAAATTGTAATGATTGTCTTTGAGAAAAAATACTCTGGGTTACTCGTACACAATAACGGAGACAGGACTTGAGAATTTAGAGACATTTTTTGTCAGTATGTTGAATTGTTTTATTCCAGATTTTCAGAACCTGAGTATCAGCTAACCTAAAGGTACTATAGTATGTAAAAGGGGAAAAGCTTCTTTTGTTTCATATACTGCAGTCTGCTTGAAAAGATACAATCATAACGACTGTGCCTTGAATCATTTTAAAAAAAAAAAAACTATGACTTTGTCTTCTAATATAACAAATTTATTGAAAATTGCAATGATTTTATTTTTTCAAAAATACTTACAAACAATGAGATTTTAATAAACAGGTGGACATCTTGTCAGTTCGTAACCGTGTATGATTAAAATTGAAGACTAAAAAATTGTTTGTATCTGAAAACTTTAACAAGTCCTTTTGTATTTCCTATCCATAATTTAGATTTGTACAGTGATAATGCGGTTGGAAATTCCATTTCACTCTTTGTAAGCAAAAACTTCAAGAAGCTCTCAGAAGGACTCAGTAAATGTATCCGATGATTTGTTGCGTCGGTAACCAGTATGTTCCAAAAAGAGTCACATGCCACATCATACGGATCAAAGTTGTTGCAAGTCACATTACCTCCATGATACACACACTTAACTTGACCAAGTGTAGACAAAATAGTCAGATTATCCCTGGGATATGCCCAGTCTACAACACAGATGTCACTGTTACCATTCTGTGCAATGCGTTGTGGAAAAGAAAAAAGTTGTTCCTGAAAATAAGGATGACCACCGATCTCATAAATGACGTCACCTGTTAAGGTCATATGTCTTACTGAACTTGTAAAAGGTTCCCAGTATTCAGAATAATCTGTCAAGGCGACCAGAAGACCACCATCCACCGACTCACAGATTCCAAGTGGTAGTAATTTTTCTGTATTCGCGATAACAGAGACAGAACCCAAAGGAAAGAGTTGGCAAATAGTATTGTTCCCATTATCGGTGAAAAACACTTCACCATTCTTACAGACACAGATATCACAAAGGTTTATCATGAATTTTCGTTTGTTCTTACCTTTTATGTTAATTTGATTAAAACAGTCCAATAAAAAAGACTGGATATAACATATATCTTCACTACAAACCTCAAGGGTACGTACTGGATTATCTCCGTTTTGAAAAAATCCCACTTCATCGGCAACGGCATCAATTGACCAAGTTTGCCGAAAGTCATCAAAAACTTTTTCTCCACCATATTCTAGAGGATCTTTAATGTCTTCAATATTAGACCGTAGCTGTTTCAGCATTTTTAAGTTGTCGATCAGGTGGAAATCTGACATAGTTCTGCCGTTGTTCTCAATTAATTCTATGGTGACAACAAGCTTGGATTTTTTCTTGTCCATCTGAGATTTCAGAGATTTTATTTGTTCGTTTGTTTTGCTCAAGTGGTTTTTCAGTGTTTTTTCATTGCTTTTCTTGATTTCTGTTAACCTGCGAATCACGTTATCAAAGTGCTTCTGTAAAACTCTGATATCGTTCTCAAACTGAATTTTATTATCCCTTTCCTTTGTTAATATTTTCTCCTTTTTCTCCTCAAACTTCGGTATGTCTTCGTTCTTTATCTCTGTTAGGTACGTTAAGAGTTCTTCCCTTCTCTGGCTAGCTACGTTAGATAGCGTGTCCCAGTTATGATCCTTGTGCTTAGTTTTTGCACACTTGGAACAAATAAATTCATCACAATCCTCACAGAACATATCGATTCGTTTGCTATGTTTGTCACAAGCTGGAATATGTTCTTGAGGAGAGCCTAGAACAGATTCAGGTGTGTTGGTCGCCATTTCTTCTTGTATTCAATTGCCATATATTCCTTATAACGATGGTTGGCTATACGATTCACTGGTTTGTTTGAATAGCGTTGAATAGGCTCTCAATTTTTCTTATGAATCACGAATGATAATGAAAATCAGTAATATGGATTTAAAAACATACATGAGGTTGCTAAATATCTGTATAAACAGGAGCAGAAATTTCTTTAGATTAATCATCCATGAAAAGACTTATACTGTTCTCTCTCTTTCTCTCTCTCTCTCTCTCTCTCTCTCTTAGATTCAGATTTAACTTAATATTCTGAAATACAAAGGATAAACTATTATCCAAGAAATGACAGTTTAGGAACATGATTGAATTGACTTTAAAAAACATCAAAATAAGTATTGCGGAATCAAGATATTATAAATCACGGTTATAAATGAACACAACAAACAAAACACTTACTTTCTACCTTGTTGCAAAATCAAATACTAGGATGAAGTTTTTTTTTATTTGTTCATGAAAAGTAAAGAATATATTTTTATGAATTTCAAATTTCGTACTTCGAAATTATACCTGGTAGTATAAAGAAATCCGTCGTTGAAAATAATTTGAAAATCCCTCTCTCTCTTTTCAATAATAATTTGGAAGTGATAGTACAGGAAACCCCGATTTTATCCTACTGAGCATGTTTGTTTTATAGACTGAATTAATAATGTTAACAACTGAGTAGATATTTCTAAGAGATACTTTTAACAAGGCTATATCAAGATCACGATTCCCTAGTGTTATGCCGATCGGTTTCTGATGGTAGACCGCATTCTTGTTATACGCATGAACTGAGTCAAACCTAAAAGATACTATTGTTTGCAGATAAGTATAAAGTTTTACGTTTCGTCACGGTCTTTTTCGTCGGATGCATCCAGCGTAAACAATTCACATGATTGGTCAACTCAAATTATCAACATTGACACGGAATAGTCTGTTGCACGAGAAACCAATCAGGGATAAGAAGAAAGTTCCAGTCGTAAAGCTGGCAAGTAGGAGGCGTTTCCAATTTACCTTGAGCGCAGCTGTCAGCTAGATCGTGACGTAACGTGAAACTTTACACTTAGCTGCAAACTATAGTAAACATAGGTTGTGATTGTTCCTTTGCAAAGCACCCGAAAATAGCAAAGAAAGTCACATACCTTTCGGATGAGACCTTAAAAAATGAAGATTTAAGTCGACACGATAACGAACCCTTTCTATTTGGTACCGTAAGTTCCGGGAACATGTACATGTTTAACTTTGAAGCTCTTGGACGACATTTGATGCTTCTCTTGAGGTGTGAAGAATTCTCAAATAAGACGTAAAACAAATTAAAATCAATACTTCTTCCTAGCAGATCAGTTTTGCTCTATGTTTTCAATATAACTAAGGATAAAAATTCAGTTACAAATTCAATCAAGATTTGATTTTAACAAAATAATTGTGCCATTGCGATTATTTTATTGAAACTTAAATGATAGTTATCACTTGCATGTTCTTGTGGCGTTGTCCAATGGGAGATCTAGACACGAGGATTAAATATCACATCATTGTTCTGTTTTTGATACTACATGTACATGTTTATAAATTTTAATTTCATGATATCTTTTACATGGTTTATAACAAGTAAAGTATCATCTCTAAGACACCTGGTAAACAGGGCATTCTTTTCCAAATCCTAACAATACTAAGTAATATCTTCTCTCCAGCTGGATGAAGTATAATATTATAAGAATCGGTCATGTCACTATCTGCTGGATCAATGTCTCTACTCTCACCGAATCCATATTTAAACTGTTTAAGTTTAGATGAAATGGTCGGGAGTCCCCTAAGATGTTGATAACCATTACTCGTAAAATTCTCGTTTTGATCCACAGTAACTATCATCCCATTTTTTATAAAACACAATGTCTATCTGACACAAACGACGAAGATACAAAGGGTACATCTCCACTATGTCTATTAGGTGAATTATGGTTGATGCAAAAGCCCACAGAACAAATGAAACAAATGGATTTAACGAACAGTATTCCAGATTAAAAAAAATCATAAAATAATACAAAATAGCAACAGAGCAAGCACATACCTCCAAAATATCAGAGGTGGGATCAGGTGTCATGGAGGAGTGAGCTTCCCCTGCCGACCGGTCACCTGCCGTTTGCTCCTTGTCATGATCGGCAGATTCCGTCGACGATTATGTGAAAAACCTGAGTCACAATTTGGCTTAATGATAAATTTTATTTGGTGACAAGATCATTGTATCGGCGATAACAATTACGAAATGGTGACTGTAAGAAGACTGCTGATATTCTTGTTTCATCCCCTTGTTAGTCAATACCTTAATCTTGTTTTAAAATATGTACGTAGATTTATATGCAGGTGATGAAAGTATAATGCTGCATGAGTAAGGGAAGTTTAGTTGAATCCATGACTTTGTTTGCTGTGCTCCAGATTTGTTTAGCTTTGATGGGTTTTTGAGCTTGATTACTGTTTGTTACCTTTACTATAGGTACTCCACTGTTTTAAATATTGTATACAGGGAAAGGATTACCTGCTATAATAAGTAGCCCTCCCTGATTTTTTTTTATCTGTACCAGTCACTCTCATCACAAGAGTGTAAAGAAAAATGTAATTACTTAGTAAAGTAGATTTTCAAGGTTACTAACTGATTGTGCTATATGGCCTCACTAAACATTGATAAATAAAACTATTCCATGTGACAATTTTTCGAAAATAGCGATAGTTATGCCTAAAATAAAGTAATTCCTACATAGATCCGCTTCCTAGAGATCCCTAGTTTCATTGGCTGTCGCAAAATAAAATCGATCAAGGTCAGTAAACATGGCGGATAAATTCAAATTGTGATGTTAATATACATGATAAAAAGCCGTTATATGGATTGTTCTGTGTAAGTTTGGATTGCTTTATGTTTTGCATAGCTAAATTTTTGGAGTTCAGGTAGGAAATGTTAATTAAATATTCATTTACTGATAATTTAAGCCGAAATCCGTGCGGGAGTGAATCAAATGTTACGGAGATCCTAAGGAGTTGTACCCCCCCCCCCCAAAAAAAAAAGAAAGGAGAGAGGGCTACATTATTGCAGCTAGGAAAGGATGACTGCACCTACGGATATGCGAAATATGCGTCAAAATAAACATTAAAAATAGACATTTTTCTTTTCATTGTAAGAATGATCAACATCTGATTCACAACATTACTTAATTACAATAAATAAAATGAATTTACGATGTAGGAATATGTTACTACTTACGTAACAAGTTTATTGAATTCTGCAATTGTAGTTTTTCAAAAATATTTACAAAGGCTGAGATTAAAATTCAGAGCTAGACACTTTGACAGTTCATGAAGCTTTTCTACCTTTATGATTATATTTGAATACTATACCTATGTTTGTATCTGCAAACTTTGACAAGTCCCTTTGTATTTCCCACCCACAATTTTGATTTTTGAAGTAATAATGAGGTTGGAAATTGAACTTCACCCTCTGTCAGCAAATACTTTAATAATTTCCCAGATGGACTAAGTAAATGGATCCGATGATATTTTTCGTCGGTAACTAGGATGTTACAAAAGGAATCGCATTCCACGTCATACGGATCAAAGTTATCCATCGGGTGGTTTCCAGGGTGATCGTCTGTCATGGTACATCCGCGATATACAAACTTAACCTGACCGAAAGAGACATTATGACCAGACTACCTGTAGGAAATGCCCAGTTTACAATACAGATGTCAGAGTTACCATTCTGTGTGAGGCGTGCTGGATAAATTAAATGAAACCCCTCTTCCATATACATGTACACATCTATGACATCACCTGTTAATGTAAGGCGTCTCAGAAAACATGAGGCAGGGTCCCTAAAAGTAATATGTGGAAGTAATTTCACAACATCCCTAATTAAGGTGACTAAAATACCACCATCAAGTGCCTGACAGATTCCTAATGGTATATGGGGTGTATTCGTGATGACAGAAACTAATCCCGAAGGAGAGAGTTGGCAAATAGTATTGTTCGCATTATCAGTAAAAACACTTTACCATCCTTACAAACACACACATCAAAGGGATTTATCTTGAGCTTTCTTTTTTTAGTCCCTTGTATGCTAATTTGATTCACGTACTCTGATGTATGGGACTGGATATAAGTAAAATTATCACCACACCCATCCAGTATACGTATGGGTTGATCTCCGTATTGAAACAATTCTACATCATCAGCAAAAACGTCAATTGAGAAAGTTTCCTGTAACATATCAAAGATTTTTTTTCCATCGTATGGCGAAGGAAATTCACCGTCTTCTATGTCATAGAGTAATGGAGTTTTACAGTTTTCAAGCAGATTGTAATCGGACATGCTTCCACTGTTTTTCTCAATATATTCTAAGATGTCAACAAGCTGGGTTTTCTTATCTAATCGAGGCTTCACACTCTTTAGTTGTTCGTTTGTTTTACGCAGGTTGGCTTTCAGTATTTCTTCATGGCTTTTCTTGATTTTTGTAAGTCTGTTAATCACTTCATCGAAATGTTTATGCAAAATTGCAACATCATAATCAAAATGATTCTCACCATCCCTTTTCTGTGTAAATATTTCCTCCCTTTTCTCCTCAAACTCCGGTATGTTATGCTCCTTTATGTGCGCTAGGTACGTCAGGATTCCCCTCCTTCTCTGACTAGCTATGTTAGCTAGCGTGTCCCAGTTGTGTTCCTTGTGTTCTGTTTTGCACACTTAGAACAAATGAATTCATCACAATCCTCACAGAACATATCAATTCGTTTGCTATGTTTGTCACAAGTTGGAATGTATTGTAGAGGAGAGCCTACAGCAGATTCGGGTGTGTTGGTCGCCATTACTACTTATATTGAATTGCCATTTCTTATAAGGATATTTGACTATACGATTCATTGGTTTGTGTGTAAAGCGTTGAAAAGGCTCTCAATTCCTCTTATGAATTGCAAATTAAAATGCAAATCAATAATAT